AAACCAAACTAAGGCCAAAAAAAAAAATATTCGGTCTCTGGTCAGACCGTTTTTTTTTTCAAGCTTGGATTGTACAGACAAGGTTGGGAACTATTTCGCTTTTTTGGTGTCCTCATGTACATTGGTGTCCTCCATAATTTGCCTTGGTGCTTTCGATCATTTGCCTTGGTGCAATATCCCATTCCTTGGTGCTCTTTGGTAAAAAAAAATTGAGGAGGTGCGGAAATAGAGGGCGCTGTTGGAGCTACCGCGGAACATTTTGGGAAAAAAAAGATCGACGCGCATGTTGATTAAAAAAAAAAAATTGGGCCTAAGCCATTGGTCCAAACTTAAGTTGAGCTCGTCCAGACTATTAAAAATGTTGCCTGGACAACATAAGTTGGGATGGCTCCAGGGTCGCAGCTTCAGTTGTGGACATGGTCTAGATGGAGAGTAACATTCTCATTATATATCTACTAAAATTATTAATTTACGCTTTCTCAATCCCAAATCATGCCACAGCGATAATTGTTTCGGCCTGTAAATTGTCAATGTGTTATTCTTATTCATCCATTTACCTGTTGACACAATGACTGAGAAATTCTGCGGGCATGCAATTTGAAATCCAGGGGCGTCAAAATTCATTGCGGTACAATAGGCTATTACCAGCCATAACGCGTGAACTGTTATGCCGTGAATTTTGCTGGCGGGCTTTCTTTATCAATCGTGGGTTAATTGGTACATTACACCGCGGTGCATTCTCCTAGTTACCAGGTGAAACGGAACAACGCCCGCTGTCGTTCACTCTGGTGTTCTTTTGCAGGCTAGTCAATAGTCTGGTGTCCTGTCCCCATTGCCATTCGGACTTAAAATATTTGAGGGGGTGTCTAGGACAGTTTAGCTAGTCAGGCACTGTACCTTAATACTGCACGCGTGAAACACATCACGTGATTGAATAAAATTAATGGTCAGGTGATTTGAAATAAGTTAGATTCTTAGGCAAAAATTTGGCATCACTTTGGCCTGCTACGCTAGATCAGTAGTCACAATGCTGCAGGCTGCGGGTTCGAGTCCCAGCAATTTTGTTTTTTCCCTGAAGTGAAATCTCTTTCTGAAAAATTGTTTATAATCAAGTCCGACTGATCAATTAAATTAGATTAATCAAATTTTTGTGTCTCTTTCATGGCCTTGGAGAATTGTTTTAAGGGACCGAGGTTAAGCCCGAGAACCATTCCATTACACACTGTACTGATGCATGCGCAATTGCGCATTGATAGTCGTGAACCAAATGCTTTCGGTTCGGCTTAATTCATTGGAGTTTTAAGGCCAATGTCTTCGAGGTTTCCGGCTCAAAGCAGGTTCCTTTTTTGTTTGGATATTTTTCCTTTAGAAATTACATCCAAGACCCCCAAAAAATGAAACAAAGGTTGGAGCTGAATCAGAGATTTAGAAAATGTCCTGTACATGTACACATAATGTGTCCATTTAATCATCAACTGGTTTTGCTGCCAATTTTATGACGGTTCTTCCAAATAATGAGTACTAATTCGGCAAGCGGGTTGAGCTACCGCATAATGCCAACCTATTTTCTTGGTGCATTTATTGAAAATCTTACCATTTTAACCCTAACTTTTTGCCGCGATAGCCCTAAAAAAAATGTCGCAACCCGAGCTGTTATGACTTTTTAGCCTCGAGCTTTGCGCATCTTTTGATACCAAAAACATAAAAATCGGACAACGGGTTGCCGCGTAGCAAAAAAAATTCCTAACTTTTTGCCGCGATAGCCCTAAAAAAAATGTCGCAACCCGAGCTGTTATGACTTTTTAGCCTCGAGCTTTGCGCATCTTTTGATACCAAAAACATAAAAATCGGACAACGGGTTGCCGCGTAGCAAAAAATTTCCGGCGCTAGGCGCCGTGAGAACTGAATTTTCCCATATACGTCGTGTACGCAGAGCACAATTACCATTCGTACATATGAATAATTAAAATTGCCATAATTCCAAAACCATTTGACCTATAGTCATAACATTTCTTGGGTATGTTCATGATGGTGAGTTGCTCTATTCATGTCCCAAGTTTCGTCACTCGATGCCCCCCCCCCCCCTTGCTGAGAGATGGTTAAAATAACCCTGCCTGATTTGGGTTAAATAGTGTATGGCGGGGAGCTGGAAATTCTCTATGGTATTTTGCAACCGTGTATTTCAGCTTTAATAAAGCAATTCATCTTTGGCATCAACAACAACTCAACAGCTATAGTTGTTATGTAGTATGTACCCTACTTAAAATTTTGAACAAATTTGTTTTGTTCAATTGGAAAAATGCACATGAAGCAAATGATGCTATGTATACTTTTCAAAGAAACGTGTAACATATTTTGATGTAGAAATACGAGTGAGCGGAAACGCAATTAATGCACGGTATGGCAATTGTTGCTCGAGTTTAATATTCGTTTTCAATAGCCAGGTTTTGAGAGTACACTCATCGGCCTATATACCAGTATTCTACCAGGAGGTCATGAACAATCAGATACATCACAGTCAAAGTGTTGACATGCCCTTGGGTGCGATGCTGGCTTTAACATTCTTGGAATGACGGCTACAGCTCAAGTCAAGGATAATCTGGGTCATACCGCTGGCAACACGCACTTGGGGTTAATCGAAACTGATGTCGAGTGGGATCGACTTGATAGGGTATTGCTATTCACAGTGATGCCTGTTGATGAAAAACGCGGGTCGGGTCCAAATAATTTGGCTACGGTCGGCAGTCACACACGTGTCTATGGTAAGTGGTTTCAGCCGCATCCGTAGGCGCATGTAAAGTCGTAGCCCTACTCGGTGTCGTCCGATTATGCGACAAGGCGCCCTCAACGTCGTGGCGGTCGAGTGTCAATTCCTTCTTCCAAGATTTTCCCGTCGTTTCAACGAAGGCGCTGGGCAACTTTGGGCTAAAAAAAATTGTCTTTATATTTTAACGCAGAACATGACTAAACTGGGCAGCTAGGCCTTCGTCCGAATTGTAACGAATTAAAGTTGTTTTTGGTTCGACAGCTAGATTGACGACAGCAGTGGCCTGGTTCACTCTGGCCGCCTACTTCAACTGAGTTCCCGAGGTTTTATCGATTGGTATCACACACTTTGTGCATTTTACAGTTCTTTGCTTTCATCTTTTCATGTCTCTTAGATTATGCGTGTACTCATTTGGCGCCGAGAACTGAATTTTGAATCTGAGTGGCCTGTCGCGAAGCATTATGGGTAGGTATAGGTCACCGCACTCATCAACGGCCCGTTACGTTCATTTCGCACGCGCATGTTTCATAGGAATCGGTGATGCTTAACCGTCCACGGGTCACCGAGGAAACAAATTCTTCAAATAATTTATTCGAGGAAATAATGGGTGAGGAAAGGGCGGGCGGTGGAAACATTAAAAGGAAATCCAAAACATAATATTGTGAGTAGCCTATTGTCAAAGGAAGTTCATTCGTTGCGCTGCGTCGTGTGCACTTTCACATTACTGAACTACGTGTCATCTGTTGAACAGATCCATCCAATGAGATTGGAAGTTGGGTACCAGTGAATAAACTGCAGCCATCTTTATTGGATGTTTGGAGACGCTTCCCCGAGTTAAGGCAGACGGGTTAACCACGACACGAGAATGACGACATAATTATTGGGCGTGGGGCTCACCTGAGTCGACCCAAGTGCGCTACTCGAACTCACCCTTTATTAATTAAAATCATACTCACCCCCCCCCCCCGATTGAAATTCATGTTGCGACTCAGTGGCGTTTCCAGCTTCTGATGTCGGGGGGACCGCACTCGCATATCCGAGGCGAAATTTAAACATCTTTTTTTTTCTCCGGACACTTGGCCTCTTTCAAATCAAACACGCTGAGGGAGGGGGGCAAGTTGCTGGTACCAATCTTCCAAATGGGGGCGCTCTTCGAAGCTTACCATTTATATTCGTGCAGAAAAAAATATATGCCGAATTTCACGGCGCATTGTAGTGGTTTTAGAGCTTGGTTTTCTTCTTCTTTTTTCATGTCAGAACTCCCGAGCCATTTATAGAAACAGTTAACGAAAAAAAGTCTTTCAAAAAGATTCGCCGGGGGCAAATTGCCCCCCGCCCTCCCTCCGGATACGCCACTGTTGCAACTGTAGCAACAATAATAGCGTCCTCTTTTGGTTAGAGAACAGTGGTTGCAATCATTGAATCGGTTGGACATTATAACTTTAATGGGTGCGATGTGCTGAGTAGGCTTGAAATCCAGTCAAAAGTATGTCCGATCACAACCGAGCTCCCTCATATAGGCTCAACAGGATGCCTTTGTCTCAAATATTTCAATTTTGTTCAACGTTATAATATTGGCTCCTTCAGGAAGCCACGTGGGGGCAAAGGGCGAGGGGATGTCGTCCCTACACAGGGGCATATAAGAAAGCACAGAGGAAAACAAAACCGTGACGTCAGTATGCGTTAATTCTGTTCAATGAGCAAGGCAAATAATTTTGTATTTTATGCTTAGCAATACTCAGCAGAGGGCGTTGGAATTTTGTATGTAAAGGCCCCCTCCCCTTATTCTTGAAGATAAACCAGGCTGCTTAATCAAGTTACTGGGTAAGTTATTTCTTGACCTTAGCATGTAAATTGCAAGCTTCACAATTCTCCTTAAATCCGCAATCCCTCCGGTTTTGTAGAAGATTGAGCCGCCCCCCCCCCACCCCAAGCTGAAGGTGCACAGAGCGATCTTCTCAATATTATTTGACAACGCAGTATTGGGATTAAAAAGTATAATTAGCAACGGCAAGTAACTAAACAAGAGCTTCAAAAAGCTTTCATTATCTACAGAGATCGTGCGCATGGCGTTGAAGGCAGTTTTAGTGGAGTATTTATGACCAAGTTCAACCAAATTTATTTCAACTCAATATAGCTACAAGACATAAATTTCGTTGACTGTTTACAAGTGGTGTTTTTGAATGCAAAATAGTGATTCATGCATATCATTTTGCTGATAATATTCATATAATTGGAGGGATAGTGCTCTTGGTTTATTTAAAATAGGAATAAAAGTAGCTATATTGATTTTTGTATTCTTTATACCATAAATATGAATTTTCAGCCAAAAATAGACAAACTTTACGTTATAAATATTGCGTTGATCAATAATTACATTGACATAGACATTAGATATATAGAGGAACATCCATACATTAAATATATATATACACAACATGACAACGTGCTTTTCACTGCAATATCTTAAATAGCAATGGATGGCATCAATTTTGATTTCGTCACTTTGTGACCTCTTTTATCAACGTTTACGACGGGTTAACGTACCTTTTAAAGATTTCTATAGTCAATACTCAAAATCTTCTCAAGTCTAAGATCACAGTATTTAAACAGTAATTCAAACTGTTTCGCATTGTTAGCCGAGTACATGACGTAATCGGTATATACAGATTCATGTCAGTGTCATTGTTCAGACTTGATTTGACATCTGCCTCTCAGCAACCGTCGGCTTCTTGCTGCCTGATACCACGGCAACAGACGAGCTATCCAATCTGGGCCTCCCGCTGGTATCGGCACAGCAGAAGGCGTCCACGAAAGCCTCCCGGTAATGCTTACTGGTGACGTTGTAGATGAAAGGATTGATGGCGGAATTCAGGAAGAGCATACCGTGACTGATGACCACCATCCCGGCCATGGACTCGTAGATCTTCAGCAGGGGGACTCCCCGGAGATGGCTGACGATGAAAGCCAGAGAGATGCCCACTAAAGGAGTGTTGCAGAGAAAGAAGACGACCCCGTTGGCGATCAGCATCTTGGACACCTGTCGGCGGACCTGCAGGGCCTTCATGGGCAGACTGGCCGCCTGGCCCTCCTTGGTGCTGGTCCTGAGCACGGAGCGATTGCTCAGACGCCTGATGATGCCCACGTACATGCAAATGTTGGCCACGAAGGCGGCAAGGAAAGGGATGGACTCGGTCAGGTTGGCCAGGAGCAGGCCCCAGGGCGCGACCGGTAGGCAGTAGCCGGCAATGACAGGTAGATCTCGGAATGTGTCCGTGTCCGGCCAGATGATGCACTTCAGGTTTAGGTCGGTGTACCGGAGCATGGCTACCCCACTCAGGAGAAACGACACTATCCAGCTAAAGATGATGAGCTTGATCGCCCGGCATCTGGTGTTGACCGACCGGTGCCTTAGTGGCCGGCAGACGGAGGCATACCGCTCAGCGGTAACCAGAGTCACTAGGCCAATGGACGCGTAGTAAGTGATGTACTGACCAACAAAAGCTCCGATGCACCCGAAATGCTGGGCCGTGCCGTAGTGGCTACGCACCGGCTCTGAAAAGTACGTCACGTACATGCCGACCGAGATCACGATAAATGCTATGTCGGCGACGGCCAAGTTCGCAAGGAAAAGGTTTGTGTTGTTCCGCATATGGGGGACGCGTGCAATGACGTAGAAAAACGCCAAGTTGGCGAAGACACCCACCACCAGCACTGTGTACAGAACGGGCAGCATGGTGTTCTTTAAGCCCTCATTTAAGACATAGTCCGCGGCTGTCTCTTCATCATCTCTCAAGTCAAAAATGTCTTCAGTGGGGAAGTCTCCACACTGCTCCAAATCCACGTCTGAGATCGCGTCCAGTGTGGTATTAATGGCGGTGGACATCGAGCCATCCACCGGCGCCCAGTCCCCCGTATCATTCACGGCAGTTCCGTTATCCATATTTTTGTTTAGAGTGCGAGTTCGTATTCTCTGATACAAAGTATGCCAAAACTTGAAAAGTGTTCAGCAGATCAAGTCATGTTGAACATCAACTGTACGTGGCTCCTTTGTTCTGAAGTCCGCAATTCTTTCCGGATGTATTCACTCGACTGCTCAATAACTGTCTGCCGTATGGCCACCGCGGTTGAGAGTTTTTACATCCTGTCACCAGCTCTCCTTGCCGCTATATGACTTTACGGTGTTTTGGTTTGATTCAATTAACCGTAACTACCCGTACATGGCCGACCTTGCCGTGTTATGATGTTGCCATCCAGCTAGCACTGACTGTACACATGTCACCTGATGCTTACGTACATGTACTTCGTATATGTCCTACCAGAAGAAAGTTCACGGTTTTCACAGTGCCGACAGCGCAATAGATGGCGGTGACTTCGGCTCGACCAATAAAAACCACCGACATGCTTTTCTGCATACGTCATGAATCAACGCGGTCCGTGTCTATGTTGACCCCTGCACCTCGCACATTGTCAAGGTGGAGTACTCACTTGCACATGGAGAAATCATCTATCAATACAGTTCCATATTTCACAGAAATCCCTATTAATTTCGAGTGAAAGGTGTTTAGGATATTTTCCGTATGTTGCGTGATGCTAATATATCACTGTTTTTACTGTCGTTGCCAATTGTCTTACTCTTAGGTAGATGTTGGATAATTTTGCTACATTTTCAATTATTAGTAATGCACTCAGGGACATTTAGTGATAATACCTTATGCATTGCAGGTGTCTCAGAGGACGTCCTTTTTTCATTTTAATTACGCAACAATCATAGGTTAACTCATGCCTATCAAACCGATACAAACAATTGCCTTCTATTACTTAACTCCGCCTTAACGCGTACGGTCTATAGCAGTTCATTATGTTTACTTGCTTGCTGATTTCGCGGGCGGGGTGTTGCTTTACTTGTTTTTAGTTTCAGCGCCTCCATTTTGTGTCCAAGTTTGTTAACTGTTTGAATAAACAAGTCTGCTGAATTGATGGTCAAGTATTTGTTTTAACCTATCGTTTTGTTCGACAAGTTTTTTTCTCCAAATCTTTCAGTTCTCACGCTGATTAGCAAGGGGCAGCTGGGAAATGTTTCTTTTGCTCCAAGTAATTGTTGCTGTATAGTTTAACCCAATACCCGCACTTGTATAATGTGATCAATGGTTACAGATGAACCCATTCTTAAAACGTACGGGTATGATGCATACACACGAAAACTGAACTCATACCGGAACTTACCTTATAGTATGAGAAATATTGCCCTTTTATGTGCTTGATAATTAGTATTGGTGGTACATGTAACAACGTACATGCTGAAGGATACGGGTTGGTTGTACTATTAACCTTTTCTTCTTCTTCTTTTTCTTCTTTTTTTTGGGGGGGGGGGCGGGATTCCCTCGAGCAATCGCGGGATCTAGGGGTGTATGGTTTAATGCAGTACATTTATAGGTGCATGGGGTATAAGCAGCTTAAATCATTGAGCTTTACTTACACACTTTTTACAATAACTGTACAATTCCCCCGTCTTCTGATGAGTTTATGATCATAAATTGTTTTGTATAATGGATCCGCCTAAAGTCCTAGCTAGACAAAAATAGCTACAACACGTACCTGGCAAAGTTCCAAGCACAGGCACCCAATTCTCTGGATAGCTCTATGTAGCCAATGCGCTTCATCCCCAGGAAAACACATCCGGTAACTTATCGATTCGGTTTACTGTGAAAAAGCTCTTCTCTTTTTTTCCTTCAGGCCCGTCTGGTGTTAATTGGATAAGTTTGTTGTCTGATATGATTTGTGTTGAGCTCATGCAGACATCAAACCGGGACCGCGATGCACATGGCTAAACGATCTTCGTGTAACAGCTGTCGGGCTTAAATCGCGTGTTATTTGACAGCGTTATGCCGAACTAAACACCACACGTGCTGCCCCGTTGAAAACAAGATACAATCGATACCCTAGATAAATATTACATGAGATATTTTTTTTATTTTGCTCGGGATAAACAGCTACAAATTTCGAGGAAAAACGCTGCAATTATCTTCAACAGGTGAAAGTCTGAGCCGCATATGCAGCCATAAAGCCAAGAGCTCTATATGGCTCTGGCGAACTTTGTGGAGGGGGGGGGGGGTGAAAAAGACGAATTTCAAATCAGCACCCAGATCGAAGGTCATAATTCTTTTTTTTGGATGACTGTGGGAAAATTTTTCTTAACATCGCAAAATGGCTAAATAGCACCATAGTAACACCGGCAGCCTCGGTCTCGAAGTTCGGATACCCTTAGTTTATAAACGGCATCAATCTCGTTCCCAGGGTGTCGAGCAGTGCGCTCCCACCACCATCCGCTCTCTCACCCTGGTATTGGATCATTTGCATATCCAAAAGTTTTGAATACGTATGCAAATGAGGAATAGTCTTGTGCCCGCCTAGTGTACGCCTGTGCGTTACATCAGCGTTTGTTTTTGTATGCGGTGTCTGGGGTAAAAAAACACAATCAATTCGTCGCGGCGTGAGTTACGAAAACACGATTTTTTTTTCGAAGTTGAAATGTTACAATCTCATCCAGTCAATATGCAGATCACATTTCATATTAATATGAGCAAATTGGAAAGGAGAGGATTATTTTTGAGAAGGTGTGGACGTAATCATTACAATGAACGTGAAAACACGTAATACACAATGGAAATAACAACACCAAGTACACGATATAATTTCAATACTTGCTAAATGCGGTATCGAATCAGGATACAGGAAGCAAGTTCCCATCACAGGGCTTACTATTGGAAACGAGGTTAAAAATAAAGTAAGCCCTGGGGACAAGGTTGAAACGGCACTGAGGCGAAGTTCGTATATCTTTTATATTTGCTTTTATATGTGTATAATTCGCACTAGTTGTTGAACGACGTCAGCTGTTCATCAGCAGACATCACGTGACTCGATATGCAAGTTGTACGGTTCGCGTAATTTTTTTCCTAGGAGGGTTAGGGGCAATGTCATGAATAATTCAGTTTTTCCTTTGAATCATTGCAAGACTTAGGTTCTCGTTCTATTTTCCCCTTAATTTAAAATTATCTCAGTGATAAATTTGGAGAAGAAAAATAGCCGATGAAAATGAGCAGCGACGACGTGGATTCGAACCAGGGATCTTTGTATCCATCTCGCTATCCACTAGGCTACTGTGTGGTAGCTCGACGACAACCGTTCTTTAAAATGCTTTAATGTATTGTAACTAGTTGAGTAACTAACAAGAATGCTGTTGATGTCATTGTCCGTTCTCATGGATAAACATGAATTATTCATGACATTGCCCCTAACCCTCCTTGGAATAAAAATTACGCGTACGGTTCGCTCGTACCCCCCGCCCTGCAAACAGGACGCTGGGATACTCTGATCAGCTTCACAGAATCTTGTGAAGGAAATGGCCTATGACCTATGTATAAAGCATCTGACTGCAGCTGTTCAAGACCGCATTTAGACAATGCTCTCAAATGCTATCCGAAACTTCCCATAGAATTACGCACATTCCATACCTGATGTGATTTCTGTTTCATTGCGGACCATGTGGACAAAATTTTGAGCGTCGCATAATGCATTCCGACCGTTCGTGACTCGAAACTAAGCCTGAGCGAGTGACGGGAATTGTCAATTTACAACACAGATAAGTTTAACAGAATTTCCTTCATTATTACGCTTTTTCAACGAGAAAAAAACATCTCTAAACTGGAATAAAAGAGTAATGAATCAGTCTTAACGGCCGTTTCAAACCATGCAGAATCATGACCTTGATGACGCGCAGGTCACTGGTCACGCAAAATCCAACCAATCAGAGCGTGAATTCATCAGAGTATCCCAGCGTCCTGTTTGCAGGGCGGGGGGTACGAGCGAAGTTGTACGGTGGTTTGCAAAACGACCCATCCAAGCGTGCTTGTGACTGATGAACTTTTTGTACGAGAAATTTAGAAGAAAACCCAAACCTTGTGTAGTCTGAGGATCAGACATTCACGTGGGCAGAGCCACGGGTACGAACGTCTGATATATCGTAGCATGTACATTTTATGCAACCCTGCGTGCCAGCCAATCGGAGTGGTCTTTAGAAACTGTGACGTCATTTCCATCAGAAATGTGGACTGAGCTGTGAATTGGTCAAATTTGGACGCCTTGTTTTTGTAATACAACAGCGTGTTTTGGAAGACTCGACAGAAGGCGCCCGCTGAATGGTCAGAATCTTTATAGTCATGTTTTATATAATTAATTAACGAATCTCTTCGCATCATAGGCATTGACTCTTGCTGTGCAAGAGGATATTCCACAGACTAGCCTTGTGTGGATGCATGGCTGAATAAAGCGATCCACTTGCGCACACATCCAGCGTGCGCGGACGTGTGCGTGTTCCAGTTATAAAAACTGGAACATTATTGTGAAAACACAGCTGTTTGCATTGTACCGGAGATACCTTGACGTTGATTAATTCGTCGGGCTCAAGTCTTATCAGTAACAATATTAAAATGGATGACACTCTTATTAGAAAGATGACAAAAAAATACCCACTAACAAAATTCTGTTGCATGCTTGTTGAAATCTAAAGCTATATATATATAACATGATCGATGCACAGGCACAACAGGAATTTAAATAATTTCTAATGTCAAGTGTCATGTTCTGAGCCTATCATCTCCACTTAACACTTTGTGTTTGATTTCCAAAAATAGTTTTCTTCGTATGGTGTCCATAAAATTGGTTTCCGAAAATAATGTAGCCAACTTTAGCGGTCGTCTGCAGTGGAGCCGTGGGGTATCATACCAAGCCCCCCCCCCCCTTCGAAACAGCACGCTAAAACACACCATACCAAATGGTGAAATCGATATAAGGCTACATACGTATGTACGTCTATTCATCAAATTCACATTGCTATGTTGCCCGAAGTGGAATGTACATTTCTCTATGGTACATACGGGCTCTCAATCTCCCAGAAATACACATGCCCCTCGGATAAATAAGACCCAAGAACCTCGCAGGCAAACATTGCATGCGATCTCCGAGAATTGACACGGCCGTGAGGTGTCAAGGAGGTGTCCCTTGGGGATCGCGATCTTGGAGGAGTTTCTTGGAAGATTGTCCGGCGGCCTTTGTTTTGTCGACGTCTGTGTGTACATCCTTGGTCGATAATTTTGTGATTCGCCTCCTCAAGGCGCGTATTTTGTCCCGCGGCTCTGAAATCAATAATTGCGAAAGGACAGTGTGCAAGAATTGGGACGATGTTGAAATTGAATTACCAGAAGTTTTTAATATCCTGAAAAAATAATTTACTACCGGGGACGGATTTAGGTTTGGATATGAAG